AAACATGCGTCCGTGGTCGACTCTCCAGTACACTGCGTTCGGCTGATTGAAAAATTCGAATGTGTAGAGCTCCGGGGTGATACGGTGAAACTGCTTGAGGCGTACCAGCCTGCGTCGATCTACTTGGCGTCGAGGAAAATGGCAAAGAGCGGTGAGCCAAAACTTGCCGTAGAGCCAAGTGGAGTATCTGTGTAAGAAAGGTATGCGGTGAAATGTGTATTGGACCACGCTCTTCGCGATGTCCATGCACTTCACCATGGAGGAGTGTATGCGGTTGAGTCGTCTGGAGGGTTGCTGAGTTGTGAGTAGGGTACCTAGTCAATGTAGGTAGGAAGCGAGGCCTGCTACCACGATAGCGACTGCTGCCGTCCCTGCTGTGTTGGTGAGCTTGGGAAGTGACCAGGCCTTCACCATGTCCTGGTATGCCTGATCTTTTGGATGCGCCTCCGCATACACCGTGAGTCTCTTGGCAATTTCTTTCTGGGCCTGTAGTTTAGGCCCAGACATCTTGAGGGTGGAGATCCAGGTTGTTGCTGACGGGGCCGCGTATCTTGATAGCGAGCTGGTGAGTTCATGTACTTGTCGGATCTTGTCCATTTTGGCCTTGTCATCTGGTTCTCGCTGCGGAGCTATGCCGCTAAGATACTGGATGAGTTCTTCGTCGTCGAATGCGTTGACGATGTCGAGGAGGACTTTGTTTTGTCTGTCGCCTGGTGATTCGAACGGGCGGCTGGATGCTGGTTCACCTGTAACCGGAGATCTCGGGCTGGGCTGGTAGGAGGGTGTGGTGATGCCTCCAATGAGGTTGGGATCCAGCTCGTCTTCCACGGTAGGCGGGTGGGGGTGGAGAGGGGGAGGGGGTTGAGGTGCTTGTTCGGCCACTTCGGATGCTATCGGTTGCGATACTTGGGTGTCGTCGGCGTCGATAACCTGCACAAGGTCGTGGGTGTTGTCCTGAGCGCACAGATCTCGGTGTGGATGTGGTTGTTTACCGGATGATGGTGAAGTCTTGCTGGTGCCTGTTTCGAAGAAGTTGGGCATCTGGGTTTGGGTAGGTGGGATGATGCCCTGCGGGAAGGGTGTCTTGCGGCTCTGACTTGCCAGCTGTGCGCGTAATCCTGCTATCTCCGCTTCTTTCTGTGCTAGTTGGGCACGTACTTGGGGTTGTACAGCGGGGGGATTGTTGTAGCGCATGAGGAGGTCTCCAATGTTGGCGACGAGCATCTCCATAGCTTCCTTCCGTTGGGCTTCAGAGGGCAGCATTTCAGTACCGTTTTTCCACTTCCAATAGTTGACTGCGATGGTCTCGATGCGAATGTTGCGGTTGCGGATGAAGGTGGAGAGTTTCATGTGAAACACGGCATCGGGTAGTGACTTGTGGCCTTGGAACTGAGTCCATCTTCCGTTGGCGAGTTGTCGCAACATATAATTGTGCTTGCCCTCGAAGGCCACTTGCCAAAGTTTTATGTCGAAAGGATCCATACCTGCCGTGCCATTTTTCTTGGCCGATGACGTGGCAGGTACGATTCTGGGCATCTGGACTCCTCCATACTGGTTTTTGTCGTAGAGCAGCTCGGTGGAATCCCAATGGTCTGGGAGGTCGTTGTTGGGCTGGTGAAAGATGTCCTGGAGCACTTCCTTGGCGCGTTCTTTGGGGTTAGGGCGGGCTGGGGTAGGGGCTGAAGATTGAGTAGATTGGATGGGAGAGTTCCCGTATATCGGGAGTCGCTGATCGTGACGGTGGCGATCTCGTCGTGGGTTGTGCGCCGAATCTTGTCCGTGATGAAGAGGCGTGTGGGACGTTGTAAATGTGGATCTGGGGGTCAAAGTTGGTCCCGAACTAGGACGTGGGTTGGAGTGGAATGTGCGCGTGGATCTCGGTGATGCTGACCTGGTGCGATGCCTCCTAGGATGGTCTTGGCGTGCTGAATCTTCTGGGTGATCTGGATCGTCTGGAACGGTTACCTCGTCTGTGTGGGTCTGCATGCCATTGAGCATGCCGTTGATCGTGGCGATCACGTCTGTCTGCCATGGCGCGGGGGTCTGGGGATGCTGATATGTTCAGCTGTTAGTGAAAAAGCCTACGTGAGGCACGCAACGGCTGTGTCAGGCGCAAAAAACACTACACTTGCAGAAACAGCGTGTTCCAAAAATTGCATGCAGGATGTGAGGTGCATATGGCTGCAACTTCTCTCAACGGGTCCATGTGGCTGAGTTCGTTCCATCGTGAAACTGTCATTGCTGGGACTTCATCACTTCACATACTTCCATTGATGTTGGCCTGCTTCTTGGTCAACGGTGGTGCGTCGTTGAAGTTCTAGTAGAGCTTGTCGTTGGTTGATGAAGTCCGTCCATTCCTCCTGAGTTGGCGTGGCTTGCGCTTGATTCTGCTTGATGTCTGGATCCTCTTGGAAGCCTGTAGGTGTTCCCGATACCGCCAACCACGTGGTTTGATGTACATGTAGAGCTTGGTGACGTTGGATTTGGCCTGATATCTTCGGGTGGGTCCAAAAGACCGAGTGTGTTCTGGGGTGTCCGATGACTGCAAGGGGTAGAGACAGCCATCTGAACGAGGAACTGGATGCTGTAGTGGTTTGGAACCAGGCCCAGTCCAACTGTGTCTCCATCACGCTGCTGGCCGGGATGGCTAACATTGGCATTTGTCCTCCTGGACTGAGTCGGTGAAATTTGCCGATCAAATCAGGCCGGCTTGTCCGCTTGGCGTCGAAACCGTCGATGGTGTGGCAAGGGTCCGTAAAGGTGAAGATGAGTGGGTCCCAAAGTCGATGTAGTACATGTGCTGCTTGGGTGGAGACTTGAACTGCGTGGATCTGTTGTGAGGTGAGGGGTAAGGCGAATCTCGGTGTCCATACCATGGTGGGCAGTGTGTCGCTGTGGAGGTGGTCGATGGTGAGTTTGGTGCGGATGTCGGAAGTGGAGGGTGGCGTCCAGCTGGTCGTGTGGGTGAGCTTCTGAAGCGTGTCGGTCCATATGTTAGTTGACCAGTGGTCCGGAATCTGGAACGTATTGGTTCCCTGAAGGCATTCTGTGTGGGAATCGATGCTGGGCCATGTTCTGTGGAGCTGTAGGTCATGGTGAGCCTTGCGGAAGACTATGTTGCTAACCGCCTGCATGGTCATGATGCCCGAGATGGTGTTGTACTTCGCAAACATCGGCTGGTGGAAGGGTGGCGTAGTACTATGGAGCACCACGCAAAGGTCTTGTATAGGCGGAAGCAGGGGTACCAATCCTGCTGTGCTGGGTAGGACGTGTGCTGACCAGACTCTGTGGAAGTGAGTGCAGGTCTGCTCCAGCCTGCCCATAGTTCTGGGATCTGCGAAGTTGTGTGTGAACATCCAGAGTTCCGGGTTCACACTTCGGAATTTGATGTAGCCCCAGTGCCAAAGCTGATAAAGGTTGGGCATTGTGGCCAAATCTGGGCAAGTACCTTTGCGTACGAGCATCCTAAACTGTATGGCTGTGAACTGTAGGATATGAACTGCAGCGGTTCCTGATAGAATTTCGTGTAGGAGGGCACGTAGTCGCAGGTGTAGGGGCTTGGGTTGGGGAATGTCGACGGAGTCGGCGTAGCGTGCCATCTGGACGTGGGTGGATGCGTCGTCCTTGTATTGGTCCCAGGTCATGAGGATGCTGTTGTGAAGTTCTTGTTGGAGTGAGGGGAACTTGTGCACCAGCTGCTTCGGGAGGAAGGTCATGCGGTTGGGGAAGAATCGAATGACGGGTGTGCCGTCCTCTTGGAGTTCCCAATGGTGTGGTTCAACCGGAGGTAGCATGTGAACAAGTTCCGGTCGAATCGGTCGTCTCCACCACTGCGGCTGCACTCTCTCTATCTGATCCACTGGTAGAACTGGGCGTAGCCGGCCTTGGTCGTGATGTTGTGTGACGGATTGCGCGTCGACAGCTGATTCAAGGCTGTCTAGCAGTTGTTGCAAGCTGCTGACGTGCGTGCCCATCGTGTGGACGCCAGGGTTTCGAAGTGGCGACCTGGATCTGTCTTCTCTGTGATGCCGTTCTTCGGGAGGAGGTACTGTGCGGTCGGGAGGTACGGGAATGTGTGGGAAGGCTCCGGTGTGCCAGGTTTGTAGGTCTCTGACAGGTTGGTACGTGCCGGCATAATTCATGGACATGCCGGTGGCGTGGTCCTGGGGTGGTGTTTGTCGATTGGGATACCATCTCTGGAATTGGTTCGCATGGTCTTGTGAAGAGGTTGGAGGGGGAAGGGTATGGGGCATGGTACCGTGATTTTCCGCGGAGGCGAGAACTCGACCGGGTTTGATTTCCATGTCTTGTAGTCGTCCTTGGCCGATTATCTCGGGGTAGTCGGTCTGCACCGCGCGCAATCTGGATTGGTGCAGTATCTTGGCCTTCATGGTTTGCTGTCGAAATCTGTTGACGGTGTTGCTGGTGCCCTCGTCAGTGGCGCTGAGCGTCTCCATGTATTTGGATGGGTGCAAGTTGGTCGTCCATGGTCTGGCTGGCATCGACGACGTGTCCGTGATGATGGGGGTGTCATCCTCCTCCACGATACTCACCAAGAGTGCTTGCCATCTTTGTAGTATTTGGGGTCCTAGTACTTGCACGACCTGATGATCAGCGACTTGTCCACTTAGCCAGCGGTGAAGGGCGTGCTCCATATCTTCTGCCGGATCCATGATGAAAGTGAGCGTCTAATGATCCGTTATGGTCAAGAGCAAAACTGCATGCGAAATGCAATCAGCACTAACGACACCTAAAGGCAGCCGGAGCATGTCTCTCAAGGTCAAGGTCTAACGCATCACCGTAGTGCACGAATTCACTTGACGCGTGATCTCATGTGCCGAAAAGAAAAGACAGGCTAATTCATCCATGACGCTGTACTACATGTATTCGATTGCAATCCGTAACTAGCGCACACATCGGGCTAAATGCATAGACCTCGGTGCAGAGATTTCAAACAGTTCGGGACTGCAGAGTGATGTGTGGTGGGGTGGGGGTGCACTTCATCCAATCTGCGACCTGTTCCGCTTGACGTCTTCCGCGCTGGTACCGCACGAGTGAGGGTTCGTGAAGGTGAAAAAGAAATCGTCACTTTGCTCTTCACGATGAGGTGGAAGGATTCGCCAGCTCAGGTAGTTGTCAACGTTGTTGTCCGCGTTCATTGTCTCGGGATCTGTTGGGAACTGGAGGTGGTGTGGTGGGTGAGGGTCTAGGGTGGAAGACGTTGATGGTGATCCCGGTGATCTCAGCGTACTGTGCATCAATGACGCTCTTCTCGGTGTGGGAGAAGACTGTAGTGAAGTTGCGACTGGCTCGGCTGGTGTCGTTGAAGTGTGCCTCGATGAGCGCCTTCTGAGTCGTCCATCCCCCTCCCTTCTGCCGCATGTGGCTATGCTGGGAGGTGGACGATGTGACGCGTCCAAATATGGTGAAACCTGTGGCTATTTCTCGTTCGGCAGGACCTGCTCTGGCCTTTGGAAGGCGGAGGGCTTTGCGGAGGTTGGTGTGGCAAAATCCGAGTTGAAGGTTGTCGGGTGAGTTGTCTTGGTGGAATCCGTTGAACCCACGGTGGGGTAAGTATGCTTTGTTGTAGGGGAGGTTGTCGTCATCCCAATTGGTGGGCTCCCAATTCGTGGGTCTGACGAAGCCCTCGCGCAGGATGTGCCATAGGCCTGCTTCATCGGTAGCGTGTGACCAATATGCCTTGTAGGCGCCCTTGTGCTTGGGAGGTGATGGACTGTTGGCATCGTGTGCGTGAGGTGGGGGTTTGGTGGTGCGTAGTGGTATGACGAGGACTTGTACCAGTGGGTAGTCGGTGGTGTCCTGTTTGTTGCTGTAGGGGTCGACGTGGATGAGCTCCGGGTGGATCACCGTGTCGGTGTTGGGGCGATTTCTGAACTTGCCGAGGAAGGGCGTGATCTTGTAGTGAGAGCAAGCGAAGGATCTTGCCACCTGGCGGATGGCCATCTGTGCTGGGTTGGAGATGTCGTGCATGATGTCGTTCATGTATCGGACGCCTGTGCTGGAAGGGTCCATGGGCGGTGGTGGGTCTTGTTGGTGGTACATCTCGGACACACACGCGAGCCTGTAGGGGTCTGCCAAGGCGTCTTGGTAGAGCATCTTCATGCGTCGACGTTCTTCAGGCTTGAAGCCTGATTCGGTTTCTGTTCCTGCATTGTGTGAAGCGGCTTCTGAGGGTGCTTGGGGTAGTCGGGATGAGGAAGCAGGTGTGTCACTGTGGGTCGCCGTGTGTGAAGCAGATCGGTGGAGCGCGGGGGTGAGAACGACGGTCGTGCCTCTGCGCCTGGTGCTGCTTGGGGAGGGGCTGCGTTGTGATGGTGTTGGTTGGGACGTGCGGTGATGATGAACCGGAGAAGAGCGCCTTCTCGATGTTCGCGATTCGGCTTCTTCCGAGTGTCGACGTGTGGATCTGGATCTTCTTGGACTGCGTGGCCGTCTGGTTCTGTCTGTCTGGTGGGGGGGGTTGGGTGCGGGGCTGTGGGGTGAATGGGAAATGTGCGTGTGTCGCGTAGATCTGGTGCTCCTGGGGTGGGCTGGGCTGGGCTCGTAGGTGGTTCGGCTGCGACTTCGGGTGTGGTGTGTGGTAAAGGACTCTGCTCTGTGTTGGTCGCCAGGATGTTGTAGTTGCGTTGGGGCGGCTCTGGCATGGGACTGAAGTAGCGGTGCCACGACTTTCTCAATCATGCCTGTGATGCACGTGAACATCTCCGTCATCTGGGACGGTGTCGTCATCGACATGGTTTGGGAGGGTGGCTCTGGGGCTTGACGAGGTGGTGGATGTTCTCCGTGATGAACCGGTTGGCCTCTTTGATGGTCATCTTGTTGTGTGTCAGAAATCTGGGTGGGCATAGATCGCTTAGGTGCCGGAAATGGTCTGGACTGTGACAAAGGCTCCTGTCGTGCTGCGTCTCGCTGCGGATCTCGGTGAGTATATACTTGAGTAGGGTCTTGCTGAGATCTGCGTCCTTGGTCTGGGTGTTGTGTGTCAACTGGAGCATCTTGCTGACGTGGCTGGTCGTGTTCTGCTGGATCTCGATGTGCATAGGCGCCCGGGGTATTTAGTAGGGAGATGGGGTAAGGTCCTTCTCGAACTGGAGGATGAGGCTCTGCTTGCGCGAACACGGAATGATCTGCTCGTTGTGGGACATTCATCTGTTGCGGAAGATAGTGTGCTGGCCGAGGTGCGACATGATTCCATTCTGGTCGACCCTGAGGAGGGCTTTGTTGTTGATGGTGGTGCGCAAAGTCTCGAGGGTGGTGGTCTGGTCGTGGATCTTGGCCTTGATGATATTGCTGGCCATGTTGAGGATACGGAGGTGGGTCCGGATTCTGCCAATGACTTGTGGTCTGGGGGTAGGAGTGAGGTTGTGGGTGTAGAGGTGCTGGTCGTGCTTCCGGGTGATCGCTGCGACCGTGTTGTTGAGGACTGGCATGTTGATGGTGAAGATGGATGTTCTGGTTGGTCGTCTGTGAATGTGGGCCCGTCGTTTGACTCGAAGGTGCGTATCCTGCTGCATCATCACGACTATGCGTCGGAGGGCCGAATTGCATTTGATCCAAGAACGCGGCTGGTGCCATCCATTGTGGCCGTAGAGATGCTGCATCCTGGTGGGGTGGCCACTGGTATTGAGCGTGTACTCCTCCGGCTGGTGGGTGTTGGTTCCATCGGCCTTGCCATCCTTGATCATCTCCTGGGTAATGTGTCGTCGAGTGTGGCGTCTCGGGAGGAGGAGGAGGAGGAGGATGTGCCTGATAGTCTGGTGGAGGAGGAGGAGGAGGCGGCTGCCGCTGCCAACTTTGTTGGTACCACTGGTAGCCGTCCATGGTGCGAGTCCGATGTAGCTGGGGTACGAGCTACTCACTACTCTGACCTATGAAACCGTTACGGCAAAGACGTAACAAAAAGAATGTTGCTAACATCTCCGGATGCTGGTTCAGGTCTAACAATCGAGGAACATACGGCACGCCGGCCGTCTTGCTGGGCATCGGTGGCACCCACATTAGTGGGCCCGGCATGTTACTAGTGCACGAAAACAGTAGGACTTTGCATTCTCACTCGCCAGGTGAGCTCACATTTTTGGATTATCCTATGCGTCCGCACCGAAGTGAAGACTAACATAGGCAGCATGAACGCGTAGGAGCGAGGCTCCACCTACACCCGCGGCCCAAGGCGAGGGCGGGCTGGCTGTATAACACACTTTTTGTTTTAGTGCTTCCACATAAACTGGTAGATGGAGATGCTCCGAAGGTAGAGATGCTCAAGCAAGAGGTAGTAGAGGAGTCCGAAAGTGATGAGGTAGAAGGGTCGCGAATGAAGGTTTATATGAAATATACTATGAGGTACTTGAAATGTTCCTTCAACTGTGCTCATCACGCTCAGATGCTCTGCAAGTCATGCTCTGATGCTCCACCACTCATGCTCAACCAAGTTTGCTCACCACGCTCAGAAGCTTGCTCACCACGCACAGAAGCTCTACAATTCATGCTCTGATGCCCCACAATTGATGCTGGCACAATTCTGCTCATCACGCTCAGATGCTCTGCAAGTCATGCTCTAATGCTACACACTTCATGCTCCCGCAACTCTGCTCATCGCGCTCCGATGCTCCACAGTGCAAGCTCATATGCTCTAGCACTCATGTTCCGAACCTTCTCCATGCTTTCGTCCATCATCATGCTCGACATGTTCCATCACCATGCTAAAATGATATGCTCACGCAATTCTGCTCAGTTGCTATTCACAACACACAAGCTGAAAGCATCACGATCCACTCAAGCTTGATGGGCTCGAGGTCTTCTGGGGTTTGGGGTGTGTCATGCTCACGGCATCAAGAATTCACCCATGCTCAAATACCAAATGCCCAAAATGAAAATCTCGTTCTTGAAGGACTGGTTGAAGCAACAGCGATGATGCACCATACACAGCTTGCGTTACAGGACGTCTATAACCATCACTGCAGGTACGTCAACTCCGCGTCCGGAGTTGATTTCACCACCATTGGTCAGTGTCTTCGTTGGCAGGAGACTGACCAAGGTGCTCCTGCCCCCTGCTGAACATCATGTGCAGAAAACTTGTTAGATCGCAAATTCATGCTTCTTTTCGCTCTCGTATGCAGTGCTTGTTGACGTTCCCGCATGTACAGCGGTGTGCCACACACACACGCACACACACACACACACACACACACACACACACACACACACACACACACTTTTTGTTTTAGTGCTTCCACATAAACTGGTAGATGGAGATGCTCCGAAGGTAGAGATGCTCGAGCAAGAGGTAGTGGATGAGCCCGCAAGTGATGAGGTAGAAGGGTCGCGAATGAAGGTTTATATGACATATCATATAGGGTTTAGGGTCTTCTGCACGCTCAGATGCTCCACAATTCATGCTCTGATGCTCCAGGAGCTGCGATGATGTCAAGCTCAAAGAATTCATCCATGCTTCATGCAGAATCATGTTGGAAAAGCTGCGTTGTCACCAAAAGTGTTCACCCATGCATCGTGCACAACGAAAAGAAATGTTGAAGCGCAGGTACGTTTACACAGAGTGTGGGTGGGGCGTGGGGGCGTCTTCGTTGGCCGAGGACCCCCACACCCCAGTCCACACTCTCCTCGGCCCCCTGCTGGTTTTCAAACGACAACTTGTTGATGTGCTCAAAAATGTTCCTGCTTGTTCACGAACCCGCATGTACAGCGGTGTGCCACACACACCCCTTTCGGGGCGAGGGTTGATCCAGCTCGTCTTCGGGGGTTGGAGGATGGGGATGCAGCGGGGGAGGGGTTAGGGCGCTTGCTGGTGCACTCAATCCAAGTCGTGGAGGATGGGGAGGGTTGGGGAATGGGGTCGTCGTGTTGTTGCCCGCCTCGAAGTACTGTGGCAAAGATTGTCCAAGCTCATGGTGTGCTAGTTGCCGAGTATCCCCACATTGTCCAAGCTCTGGAGGAAATCGTGTCTGAAGCTCTGGGACCGCGGGTTTAGAAGTTGACGACGTCGTGGATGTCGTACTGCTGCTGGAACGGGGTTTCGGGGTTAGGGTTTAGGGTTTAGGGCCACAGATGGCGTAGTCGTGCTGCTCGTTTTAGGTGCTCCAGGCGCTCGACGTGCTGGTGCCGGTGCTGTTTGTGGACGTAGAAGTTGACAACGTCTAGCTGGATGAGCTGGTGCTCGAGGACGTCGAAGTCGAAGATGCAAACCTTAAACCCTAAACC